GTCTTCACCAAGTGTCGTCATTGCCCGGCCATTTGTGGAGCGTCACACTGCTGTCAGCTTTGGTGTCTCCGTCTCTAGTATTGCCACCCACGACGTTGGCTCATCATACACCATTACATATCATGAGCGAAATGGCCGGGGCGGGACGCCGAAGAAGTCAGACAGTGTTTGGAACGTTTTCACTTTCATTGTCCTGAGCCAACAGCTGATTCTACTTGTATTTCGCTGCCACGCAAAGCACTATTCATTTACTGTTCTCATCTCTGGCGGCGTGAAAGGCAGCAGACAAAGGCCTGAGAAGAGCCATCTCATGAGAGCCATAGAACGGTACTTGTGTGTCGTTTGTTTGTGAGTCTGGTCTGCAGTGATGCCGGCGCATCCGCCCAGTCGGTCCGGAAGAAGTCTTTGGCAAGGGTCTGTGTAACGTGCGGGAGAAGACAACAGCCAATATACGGCTGCTTGTCTTCTCTGCGCTCAGTAGAATCCACACACCGCTAAGCGATCAGTGCCACCTCGCGGTTCAGAGTTCAGGCGCCTGTTGTATGGCGCTTGGATTTTAGCGAAAGACGTGACTAATAAGCCATATTTCAAGATGTGCCATCCATAATCCAAGTGGGAAGCATAAGCTGAATGGTTGCGCAACTGCAGTCTTCCTGCCTGAGACCTTCAGAGAAGCAGTTCTGCCACGATCTCGCCATCAGCACGACATTGATTGCGGCGAACCTGCCAGTAAAGCGGAAACAGCCCGAATCAGATGCCTGCGGCCGCGACGTCCGAGATCATCTTCGCGATGCTGCGAGGAGAGCACGACCTCCGCGATCGGACTGCGGTCACGACAAACGTGCCGAGGGGGTGCCGGGGCAGTCTCGTCTCTGACCGCGCGGCCGTGCCGGGCTGTGCCGGCCCCAGCGCCGCCCGTCCCCCGGGGCCGGAGCTCCCGTCTCGTCCCTGACCGTGTCGTCGTGCCGGGCCGCGCCAGTCGGCGGCCCAAACGGTACCCGCCCGGACCGGGAGGGGATCTGTGCCGCCGCGCTGGATGGCTCGGCGCGACGGCCGCCGTGTGTCGGACCCCAGCTGTCGGCGGGCCATGTCGGCCCTGCCACGCCACACGTGCCGCTCAACCCGCCGCTCATTCCACGGCAACCGGTGCGTCACACTGCCGCTTGACGCCACGGCCGTGATGCGGCGAGCGGTTTAGAGTTTCCGGTCTGATCCGTTCGTGACCCGGCGCTTTACGGTTTCCGTCGTGTGCTGCCTTTCCGGCCCGTCACCGGACGGACCGGCGTGGGGCTTATCTTGTTATATGGTCGCATTACGGTAATTGGCTGGTCACGAACCGGCTGTCGATACACAGCGGCCCTATCCCACGCTCGCCAAAACCCACCAACCGGTCACGGTAGGCGCTCGTGACCCGCTGACGGCGCGCCCTGCGTCCGTGCGGGTCTGGTGGGTCCGGGCCGCTCGTCTCGGCCGCGCGCCGCCGAGTGACTGGGCACGGCGTGACACCGGTGACCCCGGGAGGAGCGGCCCGGCGCCACGTGACCTCTGCCACGGCGGCCAAGGTCAGAGGATGACGGGTTGCCGGCGCGGCGGCGCACGCCGGATGCGGCGGGGCGGTGAGAGCACGCCCGGCGGTGAGTCCGTCGCTCCCCTCCGCGCTCGGCCGGGCCGGTGGCCCAGGTGGCGCCGGGCTGGCACGCTCCGCGAGCCGTGGGAAAGCTCGGTAACGGCTGATGGTCGCCCGGGGCGGCGTGTCGCGGCCAGAGTGATGACCGATCAGAGTCCGACGAGCAAGCTCGTTGAGGTCAAGTTACGCCGGCTCGTATTTGCTCGTGAGCAGGCCAAACAGGAGGTGGCTAGCTTCACAGGATTCTTACCGACCGCCATCGGATTCAAGGTGTGTCGCCCCACGAAATGCGCCACAATTCTTCAGATGAAGTCGAGACGGACAGTCTGTGGTTTGAAGGACCAATATTTCCCAGTGTGACGTTCCGCCATTGCCTCAGGCATGATCTGGCCATGGCGGCTGCTTCCCGAAAGTCATCTCCCCTGGATTTGTTTCCACGATTTCAATATGTGCCATACGTGTGCTCTGAATGTGTCCTGCCCCCCTCTCAGCTGTGCAGGATTTTCCCGCGGCCCGGGCACCCCCGGCCGTGCTTCCACTGCGTTGTACGGGCACCCTCAGAAGCTCCTCCACTGCAAACCACGAGCACCCTCATTCGCGCTTCCACTCAACCGATAATGGTCTGCCGTGGAGATGCTCACACTCCCGGGGCCTGCACATACCACAGAGCAGGGCCCTTAACACTCCATTGTGGTTGAGGAAGACCCGCAGGGTCCCACCAGCCAGACCGCAGCTTCCGCCAGAAGAGTACTCCGCCCAGTAGTCCTGCTGACGTGTTATGCAGGTTTTCCACCCTGTCAGCGTCTCATCCAGAGATCTGCGCTGCCCTGAACTGCTTGACCAGATCACTCCCCGGACCTTTTCCTGTGTCCCGTTTGTTCCAGCCCCATCTCCTCTGCCCGATGTGTTGGCGCAGCTCCACTTCCGCTCCCGTGCCCCAGTCGGCTGTCGCGTTCCGGCATTCTCCGTTCGGGGTTTCCGCCAAACGGGCCGCTTCCCGCGAACGACGAGCCTCCCCGGTTGCATGCTTGTCGTCGAGTGGCTCTGCACCCCGGCATGGGGTAATTGGTATGCAGAGCAGCCGCTGGTCCTGGCAAACGGGGGCTGCTTTTGGCCAGGCGGTCGGCCGCTGCGTGCCGGGGCCGCCGGAAACGGGATGGCCCGATCTCGTCCGGCCGGCCCGCTATGCTCTGGTCCGCCCAGAGTGCAGGTCTGAGAGTCGGTATCCCCGCGAGTCACACGACTGCTGGTCCAGGGAGGTGGGGGGGGGGGGGGGTGTACCCTCACGGGTCACACAGCTGCTGGTCCAGGGAGGCGAGGAGGTGGTACCTCACGAGTCACACGGCTGCTGGTCCAGTGAGGTGGGGGGGGGGGGGGCGGTATCCTCGCGAGTCACACGGCTGCCGGTCCAGGGAGGCGGGGGGGGGGGGCGGCACCCTCACGAGTCACTTGGCTGCTGGTCCAGGACTGGGGGGGAGGGGGGGGGCGGTACCCTCACGATCTGCATGACTGCACGTCCGGGATGTGGTATGTTCGCACGACCGTGGCTACCAGTAAGCCGGAGTGCTTACTGGTCCGTTTCCCCCCCCCCCCCCCTCCCCGCCCCCCGAGCGGTGGTGGACAGTAGCGGGCGTTGGGCGTTGCGTTTTGCGGTGTTTTGGGGGAGTTTTTGTGGGGGAGGGGTGGAGCAATGCCGCAACAACTGCTATTGGCCGTGTTTTTCCGTTTGTTCCCACCTGCGCGACGACGCAGTGCATACGCTACCTATATACAGATGCATCTGCGCCGATGGCTTGTCAACATTCGGTTCCGCTGATTTTGAATGCGCTGCCTGCTCAGCCGACGCTCTGCCGTTTCTTCCGTTGTCCCTGTGCGGAGCAGCCCGTTCGTCGTGCTTCAGTAAACGAATGGCGTGTTATTTCAACCGGGTGGCTGACTTCACTTTCATCGTCACGCCGGCTCGATGCATTAAGAGCCCGTTCAGCGTCCACACCTTTCATTGGTGCCGCCTGGCGACTTCCAGCTGGGCCGTGGAGTTATTACCCAGACCACCGCCCAGCTTAACAAGCGCTGTGCCACCCAGCCGTGCTCGGCGGGCGCTGGCTCCGTGTGAGTGCGTTCCTGTGTTCGGCGCTGCAAGCGGGATCTGTTGACAGCGGCGAGCTCGTTAAATACTATTAAAACATCGTAAATTGGCGTGGCGGAGGAGACGGCGGCCGGGCGGTGTCTGGCGCGGCGCCTGGCTCTTACGCTGACGGACGGACGTCATGTTATGCTCGGTGCGGGCCGCGCCGGCCGCCACTACGGCCCCGAGCCGAGCAGAGACTCTGTACACGTCGGGCCGGCCGCCGCCGCAGCCCCGAGCCAGGCAGGGGCCCGGGGACGGGCCAGGGCCGGCCGGGCCGGCCGCCGCTGCAGGTGTTTGGAAACCGAACGTCCGGTACGGGATTGGCCGGCTTCGTATGGCAGGCGGGTTTCGCCACCTGCACTGGGCATGAGTCAGTCAGCCGTGCCACCTTCGATCCCCATGATTCAGTCGTAAATCACGCATGCAGCCGCAGTCTTCTTGCCTGCACATCTTCCCTGCATGCCTAGCCAAGCCCTGCGGTTTGCTGGTTTTTGTCGCTGTTTATTCGGTTAGCTCATGAGACATGTGCTTTGAGCTATATGTCGAATGTTCCACAAAACATGAGTCTTGATGCCTCTGCGGCTTCTTCCCAATATCGCCGAGAGCTTACCTATTTTGCTGAATTGGCGATGTGTAGTTCTTCATTTTTGATGCATTGGCTGCGTGTGCATCGCGTTTTCCTGACTATATTGGTATCATCAAACGTGCTACCATTTTATTTTGCTGCTATCGATGTCGGACATGCAATGGCGAATGCAATCAGCAACCGTTAGCTGGGTGTAGTTTGCCCCATGAGTCCGCTCCATGTAACCATTGACGCTGCCCACTGTTCCAACACGTTTTAATGCACTTACATCAAACTCACTGTGCGTTTTCTGGCACAGAGAACATAGCTGTCAAGCACTGGGTTTGCCCATCGAGCACTCCGTCGGAAATGAAGTTACCGCCACGGCCTGTCGCTGCTGTATGCGATGCGATATGACTCACACTTCCGTGCTCAAAAACTGTCGATAGGCTGGCACAGAAGCAAATGGAACGAGGGAGCACCGACCCTACGCGCATATGATCGGTGATGGAACTGGACGCCTGATCCATGGCTGCACGATGAAATCGAAGGTGCTAGCGTCAGGTATGATAGGCATGATAGCGCCAGAGCAAAATGCTCTGGCGCTACCTTGCCCACATCCTCTGCGTCCGTGCCCGTGCCGCCGCACTGTGCCTGACGCGGCGCTCCCCTCCCTCCAGATTGGCGACTCGCTGTTCCTGGACCTGCCGCGCGTCCGGCTGGACGGCGGCGGCAAGGCCTTTCGCAAGCAGTGGGGCTACGACATGGCGCCGCCGCCCACCCTGCTGGAGGAGGAGGAGGACGAGGACGCCGAGGAGGACGACGTCAGCGAAACGCACTCACTCCGGGAGGACGTCTACTCGCGGCAGTCGGCGCTAGGTGAGTCCCCGGGCGCGGGGTTCGCTCGTAACGCCGTGGCTCCCCGAGTTTGGTGGTCGGGACTACCGTGCATTGGGTTACGCGCCGCGCGGTTGTGTAACAACTGCCGCGATGCCGTGACTTTCAGTTATCCTGTTTGCCACCTCGCGCCCTTTCCTGTTTTCTGCGAACGTGTGTTGCAGTGCAGCTGATGTCAGCAGCTCGAGGATGCGCTCTCCTCGCGTACCGCAAAGAAGACCTGAGCGAGCCATTACCGCTTTCATGCTCGTGCGGCCTCGGAACGACGAGGTGCTCTGATGCGTGCAGTCCTTTGTCTTGTTCTCATGTTGGAGAGGCTTGAGTTATTTGTCAAAAGCCTTCGGGACAAAGAGATCATTTCGCTTGGTTGCGCGCAAAGGTCGGAAATTGTTCTTCGCTGTCAGAGCCATCTATGATAGCTTGAAGCGCCATCTGCATTACGCAAAGGCCCGTTGGTAGCGTGAAGCGCCACCTACACGACACTAGCGCCGCTCTTGACGATGCTGCCTGGATCAGCAGTCTATAGTGCACAACCTGCACGATAGGTGGCAGGTGTACTCAGTGGCTTGCTCCCAGTGGCTTGGGATAATTGAGTTTTGACGTTGGAGGTGTCGGCTGGTGAAAAATCTTTGGAATGTGGTGCTCCGTATTTCTCCTATGAACCGGCAGTTCAGTAATTTGCTGTCAGTTTTACAAGTGAAACTACGAGACCGAGCCAGTTCAATTCCATATCCCCCTGTTCGATCATTCTCAGCTCTACTAAAAGTATGGTGTGTACCTTGGCATGTGACTGGTGCACACAGCGAATGTGCGCTTGAATTCGTCGGATTTATTTCGTGAATCCGTGAGGGTCAGAGATCTCCACGGGCTCATGGTTGAATATAGTGGCCACAGAACGGTCGAGGTTTTCGTGGGATTGCGGTAAAACGAACGCTAGAGAAACAAGCACGTCGTACTGAAATTTTCAAGCAGCGGAGTTTTTGATAGCATTGGAGGATGAATGGAAATTAGAAGGCGTCATGTTAAAGGCATTGGTTGGCGACATGTTCTGTCGATATCATGTCAGCTGCAGTTTCTGATCAGTTCAGAAAATGATATTGGCAAACTCAATAGGAATTATCATTTGTCGCTTTTTATTTTCGTTTTCTTGTCTTATTTCATGGATGTGTCCTAAACGGTTATCCTCTGATAAGCTGCTTTTCCGTATTCTAGCATGTACTGAATGATCAACGATCAAATCGAAGTACCCCAGGTCGTTCAAATGCTAGACCAAATGATCCACGTGACGAAAGCCTCGCGTGAAGGATGGTGTGCGGTTTAAGTAAGATCTGGTTGAACACTGCTCGCAGTTAATGTTATTTAAGTGGTTAATTGCTGGAGTTTGATTAGTTAGAAATAGAGAGGAGGTTACTGCTCTTACCCGGATTAGCGGGTTTGACCCACCACGTGTCACTCGCACTGATGCTCAGTGGCACTGATCTGATGCAGCCTTTCATGAGGTAACCTATGCTTCTTTTGGGTTGGCTGTAGATTACTCCGTCGAGATCGCGGGGCGGCCTGTGATAAGGCTCCTTTGGAGGGGATAAGAAGAGCGCTCTTCCGGAGCGGGTTGACGTTCATGGACATGGGCACTTTCTCACCACTTGAATCCATGAAGCCGAATCGCCTCCGTACCGGAAGGAGATGACCGGGTCGCCGCGGCATGCTTTGATCGTTACCGCCAGATCGTTTCATCGTCCGTTCACGTGTTGCTCCGGCTCGGGGTATGCGAGTGTCGCCGCAGGTCGCTTCGGGCGCATGCGCCTGCCCCGCCCGCTGCCTGGTGGCGTGTCCGCGTGCGCCTGCTCCGCCTGTTGCCCGGTGACGTGTCCGCGTGCGCCTGCTCCGCCTGCTGCCTGGTGGCGTGTCCGCGTGCGCCTGCTCCGCCTGCTGCCTGGTGGCGTGTCCGCGTGCGCCTGCTCCGCCTGTTGCCTGGTGACGTGTCCGCGTGCGCCTGCTCCGCCTGTTGCCTGGTGACGTGTCCGCGTGCGCCTGCTCCGCCTGTTGCCTGGTGACGTGTCCGCGTGCGTCTGCTCCGCCTGCTGCCTGGTGGCGTGTCCGCGTGCGTCTGCTCCGCCTGCTGCCTGGTGACGTGTCCGCGTGCGCCTGCTCCGCCTGCTGCCTGGTGACGTGTCCGCGTGCGCCTGCTCCGCCTGCTGCCTGGTGACGTGTCCGCGTGCGCCTGCTCCGCCTGCTGCCTGGTGGCGTGTCCGCGTGCGTTTTCACGTAGTGACGTCCGCGGTGAGAGTACACCACCTGAATATTCAAGCCTTGCTTTACGGGCCATTACCCGCTGTTCGAAGCCGCTAATTACCGAATTATCCGGCTGGATTGGGCTCGTCTGGTGCCGTGCGGCGCGCCGTCCGGCTGCGAGGCGGTGGCCAGATACCGCCGCCGCTCGCCCAGCCCAGCCTACCCGTCCAACCACCGGACGCGACGGCTGATGCTGCGTAGTGCCGACCTCCGCTCGTGAGGTTCTGTGATGCTTGGTTAGTGGACGGTTGTCATAGCTCTCAGCGTGGCGGTTTACGTGACCTGGGGTCGGTCGAGGTTGCGTTCTCTTATGTAGTCTGCCCGCGGCACACTAGGCATTAGCATCGGACCTAATGCCCGGTGCGATAGCGCGCAGTAAGACTTAAGCCTGTATGCAACGTATCGTATTAAACGAGTGCTACTCAGCGACAGTGCGGCGAGGAATGCTAGTACATCCAACGTGTTTGACATTAGTGCCAGACCGTCCCGGCTGAGCAATCCTCGGCTGTAGGCTATCAGCCGGCATTTTTGGCAATGACGCCATCAGAGGTCTAGTTGTGCACTGACCCAGGCCGAGATCAGTTCTGTAGAGAGCTGGTTGATGGCATAGATGTGAAGTGTCGCGTGAGACCAGGTCAAAAGATAAGGGCGCATATGAATAGGAACTAAGGCTTGACCTTCTCTAAATTGCTTGCCTTATCCCATAACCTGGAGCTTTCGTCTGATGGCTTTGCGCGTCTGGAACGTAGTGCACTTGGAATGTGTCAGCTGGTCAAGGTTCCTTATCTTTGAGTCGAACTCTTCAATTCCCAAGACAGTATTTTGGGAAAGAATTAAAGGGGACTTTTCTCATTTCCAGTAATCTATACTCAGGGATGCCCTCAGTCATTTATATATACATATATTATATGATATGTTATATATATATATATATATATATATATATACATACATATAAGGCCAAGCAAACGATGCGATGCATGTTAATGTTGTGCACCGCTGAGTGATTGAACATTCGGTGTTTGAACGCGTTGGAACTTAGACACTTCGTCACCGGAAGCCTGCAGCCGGAGCCATCCAACCAGCCCGAGGGCAAGACGAAATGTCCGATGCACATTTCCCTAATGGAAACTTTCTCCGAACGAGGAGTCTGGGGCCCGCAACTCAGGCAAAGTTGCGGCTCCCAGATTGCCTCAGTGCCGTTTATTATTCCCGTCTCATTCATAACTGGTGGGCCCGGAATTTGGGCCCGACGCGCACGGTGCAGCGTCCGCCCTGCGCTGTCTGAGCTGGCGGCCGGCGGCGGTCTCGATTCGGCCACCGCCGGGCGGACGGCTCGCGTGGAGCCTCGGCTCTCCCGCCAGACGCCGCCGCCGACGGTGGTTCATTAGTCAAATTGCTCTCGTCGGGTCGGCCGCAGATTAATCGACGCGAAGCGGGCGGCACCGGTGGCCGCGCCAAACATGCAAGAATGCGCCGGCGTCGGACCACCAGCGCGCAAACAGCGGGCAGGGCGGCGGGGCGGGCGCGTCGGCGCCGTCCCTGGGGTATTGGGGTCGGCCGAATAATCGGCCCGCCGCTCGGCGCACAATAAAAATCGAGCGCCGCTCGTCGATCCGCGAGATTGTATCGCCGCGGCCGCTTTCAATCGGCGGCATGTCGCCGCCCCACCCTGCGATTGATCTCGGGAGGCGCGGCTGGGTCAGGCCGGGTCACCGCCGGTCACCGGCGCCGGACCGCCCCGCCCCGCCCCGCCCCGCCCGCCTCCGGTCCTGGCGCGCGGGCGGACCGTGAATTGGGGTCGCGTCACCGGCGTTTGACTGGGTCAGGCCATGCGCTTATCAAGCCAAGTCTCGCGGTTGTCGAGTCGATGTCATCCGTTGGTCCAGCTCTGACACCTTCAAGTGTCCAGATACGGCTCTTTTTAGCTGAGATCAACTGCTGATTCATATACCCTCCCTCGTAACGACGCCGAGTCAGCTGCGCCGGTTCCGGTCAGCTCCTTGGAGGCCCCGCGGGAGGCCGAGTCAGCTGTGTCGGGTCAGCCCGGGCCCGGTCTCGACGGAAGCCCGGCGGTCGGGCCAGCCGCGCCGGACCTGAGCGCCGGGGCCGCGCCGTCCCGCCCTGCCCCGTGCTCTCGACGCTCACCCGTCGCCCGTGGAGCGCATCCGTCGATCGCGAGATACGGCGCCGGTAATGGCGTCCATTGACGCCGGCGCGCGGCGTGGGCCGCCGGTCGCCGCACCTCGCACCGTTACGGCCCGTCTCGCCGCCATATGCGGGTGTGGACGGCTGCCACTGTGGCACGCACCGGTGTACGCCCGCGGGGGCCAGCCGCGCGGCTGTCGCCGACCGGGGCCGCCGGCGGGCGCGGCGGGCGCGTAGGAGGAGCACGGTCTCGCTCACTTGTCCTGATGGCACTTGGATAGGTGCGGACGAAAGGACAGCACCTCGGCTTAGCTTGAAAGTGGCCGGCGACCGTCATGCTATCGGCAGCAACAGGAGACGGCAGATGCGCGGCGGTGATTGGCGAAATGGTTTGCACCGCGGCCGGATATGAGAGCGCGAACAGTCGTCTTTTTGCAGGCGGTTTGGGCTCGTTTTCACCCCAGCCCATAGGAAAACGGGGCCGAATGTGGCGCAACAGCACGGCGCATGTGTCGGAGCCCGGGCTGCGTGGGACAGATTGC